CCTGACCTTAACGACAATGACCAGAATTATTTTGTCGGTGAAATGAGCTTCGGTGAAATAAACTGTCGGTGAAATAAACTTGTCGGTGAAATGTTATGTCTACGAAATGACCGTCGGTGAAGCGAGCTGAACCGAATAAAAGCATGTACACTTATGTGTTTGTTACCTTCACATGCTCCGGATGCAGCGCTCGCATTAACCTGGCTACTAGTGGATTAGACATTACGAATCGGGCCATAACGACTAGGGATAGCAAATTGCCAAAATAACAAATCTACTGCGCCTTAACGATCTCTAGATCCAGCGATTGGATTTGGGCGATCTTGGGCTCGTTGGAATCATCTTCTTGATTCGATCATTTTGGTGGCAAAATCAACCAAATTGGATCACTGGATCAAGTTATTTGTTGTTAAAGATAGTGACCCGAAAAATTCCGCTATATAATTTTGCACCCGATTTTTTCCGCCTGTGCGGTGTGCCCATCCTAATCACGACAAGAATACAGGAACATAATTGAGAATAACGACTTTTATAATTGAATTATTCAATGATTAGAAACCTTGATAATTAAATTTTCGAGTTTGAGAACTCAATGAGATATTTTATTACGAAGAAAACTCTTTCTATTTTACACATTTTTATTACATATAACAAAATAAGCATAATTCTAATTATTACTTTATTCTAATCATTCCAGCTATTCTAATATTTTCAGCTATTTGAATAATTTCAGCTTCAATTTATTCTAATAATTCTAGATATCCTTCCTTCGAATTCAAGGAATCCTGAAATTGGAATTTGATCAAGTCGATCTTCCCTTTTACGTACATTCGTATAAATTTGGGCACAATTCAAATATACTTCACATGATCTGATTCATTCTAAAAGTATCTAATTTGGGTTTATCGAAGAATATCAAGATACGATTGTATAATTTACTTGCCAAGGCTAATAAACGACCATTTTTAATTTATAATAAGCTTTCTTACTCAATTGAGTTGTCGTCTCACCAAAGTTGTATTCCTTATTTGAAGATTAAATATTACTCAACAAGTCTTTCAGGATCAATGCTTCATTATGTTACATACAACAGATTATTGTACATTTTCTGGTCTCTTGGATCATAGGTGACCTCTTTAATCAATTGTATTATTAACCAATTGATCACAATTGATTATAAGTATGTCACCTATACTGCAAGAGATTCCAATTTCTTATGAATGCCCAATGTTTTAATATTGTTCTGTATGAAATTAAATCGGACTTTCAATCATACAAAATTATAAAATTAAACTATTCAAGTAATATGGGTATTCAGTCACTTGAGTCAAATCAGGTTTTTTAAGCCCACCTGCAGGTCCAAATAAATAGGAATATGTAGAATAGAAAACAATCAAAAAATCTTGAATGATATTCATGATAAATGAATATCAATCCGTTATTCATTATTTTATTTAAAATTTAAACAGGTATTCAGATAACCAGATAACAAGATACTGTTTACCATTTTTGTAATTTGTGATAACTTAAAAACAATAACGATAAGGCTTCGGATACTCTAAATTAGATAATATGATTTCATTCAATCTGTTCATGACTTTTGTATTTTATGATTCGAATCATGATTGTAACTTAAAAAGAAAATATGGGCAAAATTTTTAATTAAGTAACTCTTGATATTTGGAATTATTCGTTATCTTTTGCTTCTTGTGATGTATATAAAGAAAGTAATCATCTATAAATGCACCTATGCAAAAGTATAATGTAAATATCGGGTTATATGCGAAATTGGCTGTCAAAAGTGTATTACAAACAAGTTACGTTAAGTGGTGGATTTAAAGAAAATATGTACTGAGATATTCCATTGATAACTATCACATTGAGAGTAACAAAAAAAAGGTTGCTTATTGATATGAGAGATAAAGTCGTCATTGTAATACGTACATGCATAGCTTCTAGTTCATACATACTGTACATACAGTACGTACGTACGTACGTACTTGTCAATAAAAAATACTTGCAACTAAGGACCATCCTTTTTGGAATGCATGATCTGATTATGGAAATAATTAACATCGGTCAAAATCAGTATATGCACGCGTTAGTATTCAAATTTACGGTGATAAAACTCCGTTGTTGATATATACCTCTATTTTATGCAAATAGTAAGCTTCTCTACTACGCTCCAGGAAATAAGCGATCAATATAAGCATTAAATATTGAAAAAAAGTGCTTCCAATATTTTAAGAAATGAGTTCTATAAAATGGTTAGTGATAAGTGATGAAGACGAAGAAAGTCAAGACAATGATACTAACGTATCCAGAATTCGTATCAATGTTGAAGAGGATGCTACCAACTTACTTTGCACTAAGGATGATAAAATCGTAAATCTTATTTCAATTTTTGGCCCGGCAAGGTAACTAAATTGTCAATTTAAAATTTTAGTGTAGCTTCTAATAATTATATCTTATTACAAGGGCGGGAAAATCAACGCTAATGAACATCTTAGCGGGTGTGGATAATTTTGAACGTGAAATTTTCACGTCTTCTTCTGCTACGGAGTCAGTTACAACGGGAGTTGACATTTCTGAAACATTCCTACCGCTTAAAGAATTCTCAAAGTTAAATAATAACCCAGAAATTGACAGCGATGTCTTGGTTGGATTTGTCGACACAGAAGGACAAGGCAGTAAGTTCATTATGACTCAATTTGATATTACATTTAAGGACATAACGAAACTTCATAAATATTTCTTAGATAAAGGCGATGTGTTTGATCTCTGTCTTTTCTCTCCTATCCTTGTTACTTCAAAAATTGTAATTTTCTGGTGGCCTGGAATGTTTCTAGTAGATGCAATACTTAATAATTTGGGTGCAATGACGAAATCAGCACAACGAATCACACAAGATGCTCAAAGTCAAGTAGGTTATAAGACTTCATACTTTCAACGTGATAAGATGCCATTAAAGCTTGTACTTTTATATTACATAGAATCAAGATGCAAAACCATATGGCCATCTCCATATTATTTTCCGTTCCTGGAATAATAATAATAATAGTACGCCAGATGATATTAAAAAGTTACTGCTAGAGCCTCAGCAGGGTCGTAGTGATAAAATCAAAGAACACAATACTATTCGTAAATTGTTGAATGACTCCTTTGAAAGTATTGATGTAAGAAAACCATTCTTTTATAATTTAATTTGCAAATTGAAATTATTTAAAACACAATGTTTCAATGTATCTTCGTTTTTAACTTCTAGATATGGCTCTTTCCGTTAAGTGACTTAAGTCAAAGCCGAGAAAAATTGCTTTTTGAAGATTTCAATGAAAACTGGAAGCAGACATTTAAAGAGATGCGCAAAAAAGTTTCTGAACAATTGAGTGTTAATGAATCAAAGCATAGCACCGGTATGTGATTTTTATTAAATTTCTCATTCACATAATTTTTCCTAATTTAAAATATTATATAGGAAAACCATGTACTAGCCGGGACATCGCTGAGTTTACTGAAGTTTTATGCAATGCACTCAATAACTCAGAAACATACACGATCACCTCAATCTTTGAGAGGATGCAAATCGCTCGTGCTAAGACGTTGGCTAAAAATGCACAAGATAGTTTTCGCACACTTGTTTTTCGTTATGATATTAATACTATGAATGTTCGATATAAAGTAGAGGGATGCAATGATGAAGGCATTGACGCATATTTATGTAAAGAACTAGAATATTTTCAAAAAAAATTGGAATTGGAAGGTCTTCCTAATAAAATAGTAAAAGAGAACTGTGAAACTTATAGTGGATCAGTCCGATCAATAGCATATGAGTTCAAAATACAAATAGCAAGCATAGCTATGGAAGAACAAGAATTTCGGGATCAAGTTAATAAATCTGTACTTAACATAGTGTTGCCACTTTCAAAATTAATTCTTAGAAAATCTCTTAAAGAACTGACTAAACCATTGTGGTGCAATTTTAATAATAAGGTTAAGGATTCACCAAAAAGGTTTGTACAGAAACACCAAGATAACCTTAAAAATTTTTGTGGAGAAATAAAGCAGCAACTTATAGTGCAAAATGAAATTGCTCATGCTAAGAAGTTAACCGAAGATGCACAGAAAGACTTTCGCACGCTTGTTAGTGATATGAATCCTCAATATAAAGTAGTGGGATGCGATAATGTTGGCATTGATGCATATTTATATGAAGAACTAGAAAACTTTGAAAAAACATTGACATTTGAGAATTTTTCGGATAAAATAGCAAATGAGACTTACGAAACTTACAGTGAATCGGTCCGCTTAATAGTAGATAGGATTAAATTAAAAATTACAACTATAACTTTAGAAGCACAAGAATTTAAGGATAATGTTAATAAATGTGTGTCTACAATAACATATCCACTTCAAAAATTAGACCTTACAAAGTCCTTTAAAGAGATAACCCAACCATTGTGGAGCAATTTTAATAATATTGTTAAAGATTTTCCAAAACATCTTGTACAACAACATCAAGAAAACCTTGAAAATTTTTGCAGAGAAACGGAACAACATCTTATGGTAAAAAACGAAATTACTCACGCTAAAATATTGGCCAAAAATGCATATAATGAATTCCGCACACTTGTTAATAATATGAGTCCTCAATATGAAGTAGAGGGATGTGATGATAAAGGCATTAATTCATATTTATACGAAGAACTCAAAAATTTTAAAAGAAAATTGGAATCAGAGAATTTTTCTGATAAAATAGTAAATGAAACCCATGAAACTCATAGCAAATCAGTCCACTTGATAGTGAATGAGATCAGAATGAAAATTGCAAATATAACTATCGAAGTACAAACATTTAAGGATCAAGTCAATAAATCTGTATCTAAAATAACATTGCCACTTCCAAAATCAGATCTTACGAAGTCCTTTAAAGAGCTAACACAACCACTGTGGAGCAATTTTAATAATATTGTCAAAGATTCTCCAAAAGATCTTGGACAACAGCATCGAGACATTCTTGAAAATTTTTGCAAAGAAACAGAACAATTTCTTATGGTAAAAAATGAAATTACTCGCGCTAAGATAGTGGCTGAAAATGCATATAATGATTTTTGCACACTTGTGAATAATATGGATCCTCAATATGAAGTAGAGGGATGTGATGATAAAGGCATTAGTGCATATTTATACGAAGAGCTCAAAAATTTTAAAAGAAAGTTAGAATCGGAGAATCTTTCTAGTAAAATAGTAAATGAAACTTACGAAACTTATAGAAAATCAGTCCACCAAATAGCAGATGCGACCAAAATAAAAATCGCAAATATTATTATAGAAGTACAAAAATTTCAGAATCAAGTTAATGAATCCGTACCTAACATAGCATTGCCACTTTCAAAATCGAACCTTACAAATTCCTTTAAAGAGCTGATTAAACCCTTGTGGCACAATTTTAATAATATAGCTAAGGATTTGCCAAAAAGATTTGTACAGCAACATCAAGAGAACATTGAAAATTTTTGCGGAGAAATAGAACAACATCTCATGGTGAAAAACAAAGAAAACATTGATGAAATTATTTCGATTGCACAAAACAAGATGAAAGAAAACTTAAAAAAGTCAGCCAAAAAATTAAACAATCGACTACCAATGAAGGACGAGAAGTTTGAGTCTGAATGGTCCGTTTTATTTAAGCAAAACAAGGAAATGTATTTTAATCTAGATGTTTTCAATAATTTTCCTGATGATATAAATTTAACATTTCCAGAAAATTTGTATATGCAATTATCAAATTCGATTTGGGAAGAGTTAATGATAAATAATAGTAATGCTTGGGAAAAGAAAGCTGAAGCATTTCTCGAACGTGCTGCAATACTGTTTAAAAGGAATCTTGCTACCAATTTCCCGGTCAATAATAATAAGGTGTTTAATAACACAGAAATTGAACATTATCTTCAGGAAGAATTATTAGAGATTTCATATAAAGTACCAAATATTTTCCCACGTACAATGATGGATGAAATTTGTATTAAATATAAAGAAATAGCTAGCTTGATAGTAATAGAATTCCAGAAGAAGAATGACAAAAATATTGAAAAAATTCCACAAGAAATTGATCGATATATTATAAATTGGGTTACCCTCTCAGACATAAATATTAAGGACGACTTAGAAAATTGGCAACACGAAGTTGCTAAGCTCTTATTAATTAGTACCAATATACCAAAACTGGTTGCTTTGCCATCATCACAATTATTATGCATTTGTAACGACATTACAAATTTTGATAGAGAATCAACTTCACCGTTCAGACAGGCTATTAAATTAATTAAACAACGTGGTATGGAGAACACTTTATCTGAACTGTTTGTTAATGAAATATTGGAAAGTCTCAAATTAGATAAATTGAAACATGCGCGAATGTTGTTTATAAATCGTTGTCTTGGTATTACATCACTCACTCCTACAATTCGTCACCATTTTTATGAACTACTTTTTGAACATAGCCCATTTATTCTTGCAAGTCCCGTTATACGGCGTATTTTCCTCGCAGAATATGAAGAGTATAAAGAAGAAAAGCATCAAAATGTATTTTTTGACTTGCTCAAAACTCCGCATGAAGCTTTTGAAAGTTTACCGTATCTGCAAATTATCAATGATATATTAAAAAAAAATGACCCTGACTCGCCAATAGCAGCATTGTCTTGTGATATCATTCAAAAAACATTTTTCGTGCATTATAGTTTAACTGAATTGCATGATAATTTTTCTAGTGCCGTTGATTCACTGTATAACAATAATATGGAACCATTACAAATTATATCTGCTATTGCTTTCTTGAAAGAATACGTGCGTATTATATGCGATGCAAACATGACCACCCTGAAGCAACATGTGCGCATTTCCCCTGTGGTGCCCATGGCTAATCACATGGTTAAAATTATACAAGATATCAATAACCACATGATGTTGAACTGGCAAAGGATTCATTCACTAAGAATATACTTTCTAAAATACCTTCGATCTTGCGATTTTTCAATGCAAGATATTAGGGATCTATGTAAATCACAAGAACAAACTTTTCCTTGGCTTAAAAAAATACCCTGGGGCGATAAGGATAATCGATTTACTTTTAACCCATATTGGTTGCATCATGATTACGAATACGCAGAAGATTACTATTATCATGTTTGTGACGAATCAAACTGCATTGAGACTAAAGTTAATGTGTGTTTTGCATCATACTTGGAGATAGCACAGTCAAGAATAAATAAGATATCTATAAAGGATATGTTATATAAATTATTTCATCTTGATTTTTCCTCGCCAAATAATAGAACATTGAACAAAAATGATCTTATTACATTTGCTGGAGTAATTGCAGCCCGTCTACATTATATTAGGGCTTCATACAAATGGACAAAAAATGAAAAAAGAGTGGCTAATTATTTGACTAAAGAAATAACAGCTATGAATGCTTCATCGGTTTATAAAGAATTTCTTAAAAAACTTCTATTAAACTCTAATTCTTTGATTCAGCTGTTCAAAGACAATGAAGTCGATGAAAACCTAAATCGAAATGACTCTGAAGGCGATGAATTTCTAATGAAATCAGTCATTATACACTTAATTATAGTACATGCTTCCATCCCAAATAATGCAAGTCCACTGGCTGCTTATCTCCATCAGTTACAAGCTTGTCGAAATGACTTCATTCTGACGAGTCCATCTGACATAGAAGGAGTTGTTATGAATGCAGTCGCCTCCGTCAGGTATTGTTCCATTGAAAAAATTTTTACAGAAATTTACAGGATTTTATTGAATTTTGTAGTTTAACTACACAAAATCTCTTATATAAAAGCAAGATCTCATAAAATCCTGTAAAATACTGCATAATGCAATTTCTTTGACATTTCTGATATACAGCTTTAAAACATTATTTATTTTTATTTTCAAAAGAGATGCAATTGGTGCAGAAGAAGGTGTCACCAGGTAATGCACCAATATTGCTGTTGTCTTAGCATTTTGAATGTACCTTTATAATGATAAAGACTATGTTAATTGTATGATTCAAAAGGTATCAATGCAAATGCGGTGAAAAGTTTTTCGTCTTTGATTGTGGGGGCTTTGGAAGGTATTTTAATTATATAGAGTGGAAGAATATATTATATTTAAAGAAAAATTAAAACTAATTAACTTATATTATTGAATATTTGTATTACCACCTAGCGATTCGGGTAAGTGCATAAATTGCAAGAGAGTTATTGGTAATGGTTCAACTCAAGGCGACTATACTCGCTTAGATGGGAGAAGGATTACATCTGTACCAATCAATCACGAGCCTGGATACATAGTTGAACAAATTTCAACAGAAAAAACACAGAATGTCCGCATGATGACACCACAAGCTTATCGCATATTACATTTGTTTGTACATGCTCTACTTGGTGCATCTGTACCATCGTCTATCGCATCAGAATTTTTTGCAAGGAATGGTAATAATGCTGGAGATACGATGAAGCATTGTCTTCGAAATATTCGCAATGACTGGAAGGTGCTTAAGGAGATTTTTAATTGTAACAACGAACAATTGGCCTTGATTTTGCATTCTATTATCTTTTCAATGACAGAAAAGTCATCATCAGACGAATGGAAATTGGATACCCCAGAAAAACGGGAAGAGTGGGAAAATAAATTTAGCACGGATCTTAATTTTAGTGTCTCTAATGTAATAGTTATGGCACAAGACATTCGGAGTAAACTATCGGAAGGCAGAATAAGTTTAACTGAAGAGGAGATTGATGACATGCTATCAACTAAGGATGAAAAGTACCATCATCAGAATCTACCTAGACTCTGGAGAAAGATCAAAGATGTGAGCTTTAAAAGCTTACATGCTTATTACATGATTGATACAACTAACAAAACCAAGTTTCCATTCTTGGAAGTTTTTTTCCGGCACGAAGAGAAGTTAAATCTCATAAGAAACCTTTTACCAATTTTAAAGTTTGTCCAAATCCTTAGGACACGTTTAGAATATCAAATTACCAGACTAGAGGCTCGTGAAATGACATTTGATAACTTTATAAACCGAGAATCCAATAATGGTGAACTTCAAAAAATATATTTAGCATTGAATTCTACTTTTAAAAAATTTGAGAATGCGTGGAATATAGTGGCCCCACATGTAAAGAGTTACGAATGTTTACAATTCAAGAAATTTCCCAAAATATCATCTAACTCTTCAGTTATGTTTGGTTTAGTAGAAGGAAAAGATGCTGGGATATACCTTTGTGCAATTATTTCTTATCTGGTTGAATTACAGAATCAGTTTTTGGGAGAAATAATTGCCATTCCTTTTAGTCTGTGTCTTTCTCTTAAGTTTTTAGAATCTAATGTAAACAACAATAGAGTACAATACTATCTTCAAAGAGTACAGATTCAGCATGCACGACCTGCTAACTTCATCGATTACGAAAGGAATGATGAAATATTAAAATATAGTCAACGAAACTTGGAAATTCGCTATGGAGAGGACATTATATATGATTTATATAAAATTGAAATGAAACTTGCACATCAGCTAGTTTTTAATAAATGCCTTATCGTTATTAATAATACTTTTAGCAAATCATTTCCTTATTATGGAGAGATGTTCTCGCGAAATTTTTATGTTCTAACAGATTTTGAAAAATTTGTTACTCAAGAGCCACTTCCAATTGCGAATATAGACATGGCACCGCTTGATGACTATGTGTTTGACAAATCATTTTCATCTGAAAATGCATCTAGAATGCTTCCTACTTTAGAAATGCTAATATGTAGTATCGATCGCAAAATTAATAATGAGATATCTATCAAGGACTATATCTCTCAGCAAATGGATTTGTCTATTTTGACAGAAAATACAGAATTTTGTGGGATGTTCAGCACTAATCTACGCCTCAAACACCTGATTAGTTTGTATGAAATGGTGGAGAACAAGAAGAAATTAACATTTAATGATATACAAGCAAAGTATAAGAAGCCATTATCACAGCCGATGAGTACCAAGATCCTTAAAGCTGTTGCTTTTGAAAATTCTAGGGATAAAATTTCCGCCTGTGACCTATTGATTGCATTGAAGCGATTTATGGTGCGCTACCTGATGCCAGAGTCTTTAGAACATAAACTTGAACTAAAAATTTATATAACTGATGAGGTTTTGGGCTGTTGGCCTTCGGATAATTCTCTAAAAATTGCAACAAAACTGTTTCCATCTGAATTACAAATTGGCCAAACGCATACTATTTATAAATTTATAAGTGATAGACAAGCAGTAATAACTAGGAATAGTAACTAATAAGATAGATAAATGATGAAATAAAAAACGCAAACCATCTTAAAAATATATAATCTTAAAATATTTCGAAAGCAATTCTGTAGGCATAACCACGCTGTTGGTAATGTAAGGATAGTTTTTAAATAAGTCAAGATATCAGAACAACAATGCGTAACACATGTAGGATTATTTAAAAACGATAAATATATTTTAAGGCATTATTGAATGCGTGTCAGTACTAAGGTTTCGGATTTTTTTTCTTTTTTCTTTTGCTTGTTCTATTATCTTATATACACATATTTGATTATTTTGAAGGTTTTTTTATGCGAGATTGCTAATATGTTTTTTCTTTCATCGTATTATTACTTTTTTCTATTTGTGTTCATATCTAAATTCGATAAACATTTTATTCTCGAATTATGAAATATGTGTGCATTGCTATGACATAAAATATTGATGTAAATGCTAAATGAAAATTTTGTATTTGAAGAAATGTTTCAGGATATTAAAAATCTGAGCATTGCCTTTAATAAAGTTCTAGCTTTTTTTAATTTGATTTTTTATTTTATTTTATTTTATTTTTTTGTGATTAAACTTATCACATTTTTTGTTTCAATCATGTTACAAATAATATAACATAATATTGTATTTATCATACAATGTTACTTTTTACGTTAATATTCTATTTGATTTCTATTTCACCAGATATAAACTTAAAAAACTATGAAACAATTAAACAAATTTATTATGATCATTATTATTAAATCCTCAAAATTTTTTATTTTTTCACAAATAAACAACTTAAAAATAACAATATCAAAGGTTCTCCGGTAAATACCGATTTCTGGCATAACAAATGTTAGTAAATTAGATCTTGTAATTAATTAAACAAATATTAATATTTCAGCTTCTCTTTACCTACTTTTTACAATTTTACAAAGGTTGTATCAATAATATCCTCTTCACTTTTAATGTTTGAATTCTGTCCGAAAATGATATTGAACGTTGAAATTAATTGGACTGCTATTAGTAAGGATTCTCCAATATCTTGTGAGATATTAAAATTTTCTTTACTATTAAATTAAGAATACGTTTCTATTAAGTTAGGGTTTAAAGACCATAGTAATACCAAAATTTCTCAAGTAAAACCTTGCTAGCGTGCAGAATGTAGTTGCATGGGCAAAAGTTGAATTATGGCCATTTTTTTGATCATTTTTATTTTCATTTTTTTCATTGCATTTGTTTCTAAGTTTTGATTGATCATTGTAATTGTTTGAGGCTGTAACACTAAGATGGTTAATAGTTTCGTCAATGAGTAGCATAATCTGGCCAAAACCATGTGCAATTTTTTGCGGTTAAACAATTCAACTTAAAATGCACTTTTTTTTTTTAATAAACTAGAATTGCAAACTACTGCGAGCGATAATTGCCCTATTCAAAGCTGAAACCCACCCTTTTTATATTTGTAAATTTAGCCTGCAGTCTTAAACCCTCTTTGTTGTTTTTTTTTAAAAAAACCTTTAATAACTCAAAATTTTGCTTATGGAAACCACCTTTTGTATTTTAATAAACAAATTCTTTGCACAATTTTGCCTTTTTTTATAATTCTAGCTATAACCCTAACCCTAATATTAGCTAAATTTTAAATTGTTTTTTGTATATTTGTTTTGATAATGATCTTCATTTACATACATTTTTAACTGGTGTTAGCACCACAGGTGTGATTTAGTGTTATTGAAAAAAAATAATTAAAAATAATTTTCGTTGAATATTTAAATTTTTCAGCACTTCAAATACTTTCAATACCTCAAATGTTTTCTTTAACTACAAAGATTTTATATGTATAATGAGAAGTTATAATTACCTTCATACACAGAGACATTGAATGGACAATAACTTTTAGCTTAAATTGTTAATATTTACTGTTATTATTTTAAATAAATATGGGGGTGAGTCAATAGAAACGCACCAAATCTTTTTTAATGAAATTTTTTTGAATCTTTGAACAAAAATAACTCAACAAAAGTTTAATTAAATTTAATACAATGTTTTAAAAATAAATTCTACAAGTTTTTAGAATTAATTTAAAAAAAAATTTATTAAATTTGCTTAAGTTATTGCTGAATTATTTTTGTTCAAAGATTTAAAAAAATTTACTTAGAAAAAATTTGGTGCATTTCTACTGACTCACCCCCATATGTTTAAGTGAATATTAAATATTATGATGCCTTATATAGGTAATTTTACATCATTTTCATTAAATACAATATTCTATGTGATTGTTATAGTTAGAATCGTATACAGTAGTTAGTTTTTTTCTCAATATACGTATGTGAATATGACCCTGCATTCATGAAAGATCTTGACCAGGAGTCGCTTATGATGTTGGTATTTCTAAATTCACTACAACATAATGAAGGAATAAACAACTAGAATATTTTTGATAATGGGATAATATAATAATTATAAAATAAGATAATAATAAATCAAAGGAATCAAAAGATCTTTTAGAATGAATAAACCTGATGACTTTTATAAACAGTATAGATAGCTTGTTTTATGATTTTTTTCAAAAAATTTTTGTAAATTAAGTTGATCGTGTAAGTGTCATAAAAAACAGAAATTTATTTACGATATAAATTAAGATATAGATTAATTACATAATAATATCATTCAAAGTGCCTAACAATATTACTTCCAAACAATCCTTATTACTGTTAACCGTATCCAATGACTAACCCTTGCTACGCCAGATAATTATTCTCACCTGACATTTATTGTGTGACGATAGTGATAAGGATCGTACATATATAGTAAAGATGATCAAAAAAAGATACTATATAAATATGACTTACGTACATACGTGCGTGCATAATAATTTAAATTTAGTAATAGTTTTGCAGTATTAAAATTTCCAAGAATTCCATGATAAGGTAGTATATTTTGGTCCAGGTGTTGCCATGGATAAAAGTATTGAATTTGAATCATTTGAATCATGCTTGGAATTTGCTAAAAATGGAGATCTCTTCGCACAAAATATTATTGGATGGTACTGCCAAAATGGCATAGGCACAGCTAAGGATGAAAAAAAGGCATTCGACTGGTATTTGAAATCTGCTGAAGGTGGCAATTCGAATGGACAAAATAACCTTGGATCATGCTATGCGCAAGGTATAGGCACAGTTAAGGATGAACAAAAAGCATTCGAGTGGTATTTAAAATCTGCTGAAGGTGACAATTCTCTTGGGCAAGCTAACCTTGGAGTTTGCTATGAGAAAGGCATAGGCACAGCTAAGGATGAACGAAAGGCATTTGAGTGGTATTTAAAATCTGCTGAAGGTGGCAATTCGATTGGACAATGTAACCTTGGATTATGCTATGAGAAAGGCATAGGCATAGGCACAGATAAGGACGAACAAAAGGCATTTGAGTGGTATTTGAAATCTGCCGAAGTTGACAATTCAATTGGACAATTTAATGTTGGAATCTGCTATGAGAAAGGTATAGGCACAACTAAGGATGAACAAAAGGCATTTGAGTGGTATTTGAAATCTGCTGAAGGTGGCAATTCGATTGGACAATGTAAACTTGGATTATGCTAT